AAGAATGTCATAATAGTGTTTATAATAACTCCATATGTGAAACAACTCTGATGTCAGCCAATAGCAGAATAGACAAACTGTAGAATAGTCACACAAAGGGGTACTAAGTAGAAATAAAAGTAAACAAATTATCATTAACTTGTCTCAGTTTTGAGCTATCTTCTTTATGTTTGTATGATAACATATCGCACCCATTCTCTATATATGATTAAACAATAAAAATAAAAAATAAAATTGCAAGAGCAGTTAAGAATATAGCATAGAAGCAATATTTCTTCTGGGAGAGGGTGGGTTATGTCAGATTGATAAATATTTTCTTCATATTTTCTGAAAGAATTTCCTGTTGAGATATAAAGGCCCATCCGACCACTGGATTGGTCTGAGCCGAGAACAAGGCCAAACCTGGAAATGGATAAATGGTACTGAATGGACAAGATGGTAAGTTCTGAAAATTCTGGCAGAAATACTTGCATATGAATTTACTTTGCATGAAATCTAAAGTATTCTCTATTTATATGCTTTAAAAATTCTCAATTTAAGATTAGTTATAAAGAAAGATACTGCCAATTTGTATGTTTCAAAGGTTTTTGCAAACTCCTGAAATAAATCCAAAGCCTGTCATGGTAAGATAGAACTACTGTAAACTGATCTCATCACGGAGATCTCAAGCCTCATCTATGTCACTTTTGAACCCTTTCACTTTGAGAAAACCAACGCATCTTCAAGTCTGTTTCTTACATCTGAACAAGATTATGTTGTGCTTGTCCTATTGATCTCACAGGGTTGATATGAGGATTAGAGGTTTTGATGAATATGATTGTACTTTTTAAACTTTGAAAGATTATAGAAATGCAAGTTAAGTTACTATATAAAACTATATAGCATTGTATCAACTATGTATATATATTGTATCAATCTTAGCCCATTTAGAGAGGGATTATGAGTGACATCAGCAATACCTATTATTCATCATAAGATCATAGTTTTAAAATTTTAGGATAGGTAAATTTTGGCATTACAATATTTAATTTCAAATATGTATTTGTAGGATCTTTAGATTACTGAAAAGATTTTGGATAATGGTGGAAGACTTGGATTCACAGAATTTTACTTAATGTTTGAGAGATGAGAGGGTTTTGAAAAGCTGCTTTATGATTATAAAGTAATCAATATTGGAAATATAACTTCATTTAGGGAAAAGGCACTGGACTGGACATTGGCAAGTTTAAAAATGGGCTTTTTCTCATTAGCTTTTGACATTGGGCAGGATGGTAAGTTTTAGAAATCAGAGAGCACGTTCATTTCTACACTGTTGTATCTACACTGCCTATCAGATAGTGAATGCTTTGTAAACATTTAGAATTAACTTTGATTTCTCCTTTTCCATTACAGAAATAGTAATAATCTCTGCCTAATTCTCAAAATATTTTAAGGATCAAATATATTGTTAACTATTCCGTTGTTGAAAACTGCTCATCACTTAGAGAAATGTAAAATATTACACGATTAAACTCTAGCATGTTTCAACAATTAGCAAATCATATCACAGACCATGGTAATTTCAGTGAGTAAAGAGGAGACATTTATAATATAAATACTGACCCCAAATGTCTGTCACATCATTTATACTCAGCTGCATAGCACTGCAGTTTTGGTGCTAGACTGACCAGGCAAGTAGAAGACTGTGATGAAACAAGGAGCTTAGACAAAAGAGGCTGAGGTCTTCAATTGCTTAAAGAAGCAGAATATTGCTAAAACTGTGTAGAGAAAACAGGTGTCAGACCTCTCCCACAAGTCAAATTAGGCTTTGGATGTAGTGGAAAGAACATTACGCTTACAGATATAACACAGGTTTGTTTCAGAACTCTGCATTGTTCCTACAGCTGATCTATTGTATATACTGTTAAGAAAAGCTCACCGACTCATTAGTGATAAATACATGAGCCAGGAGAAGACCAGGGCTTATGAAAAACAACAACAGAATTGTCTGTAATAGAGTAGCATTTCTTCACTCTCCTGTTTCCCAAAGTAAAGAAAGTGGAAATAATCTAGCTAGGCTCTGTAGTCTCATGGACCTAGATATGAATCCTAGTTTTACTTGCTATATTAGCTTGGAAAAATCCAGTTTCCTTGGCTATAAAAGGAGATAATTATTAAAGTAAGTATCGATGTTAAGTAGATGACATGTGTAATGCATCTTCCATTTTGAGGTTAAATTAATGTCAGTTTTCTTATTTTCTCATCTTTGGTCTCTCTGCTTTTGCAGAAATTTCCAGCGGCCAACTGCTTCTGCCTTTTCTATTGCAGGTTTCCCATCAGAGGAGGAGGAGAGTGTGCCTATTTGAATGACAAAGGAGCCAGTAGTGCTAGGCACTACACGGAGAGGAAGTGGATTTGTTCCAAACCACATACATATGCCCAGATGAAGCAGCAAAGCCTTAACTAATCTTCAGAAGCAACATTGGAATGAATAAACTCATTAAAAAATAGAATTCACAAACATTAGTGAGGGCATGGTGAAAACGGAACTCTTGTACACAGTGGGTGAGAATGTAGTTTGGTGCAATCATTGTGGAAAACTGCGGAGGTTCCTAAAGAATTTAAAAATAGAACTACTCTATGACCCATAAATTCCTCTCTGAGTACATACCCAAAGAAAATGAAATCACCACCTTATAAAGATATCTTTACTCCTAGGCCAATGTCTGTAAGAGCTGTTCCAACATTTTCTTTGAGAATTCTTACAGTTTCATGCTGTAGGTTGAAGTCTTTTATCCATCATGAGTTGACTTTTGTGAGAGGTGAGAGGTGTGGATCCTGTTTCAGTCTTCTACATGTGGCTATCAATTTTCCTAGCACCATTTCTTGAATAAGGATTCTTTCCCCAGTGTATATTTTTGTCTGCTTTGTCAAAGATCAAATGGCTATATGAGGATGGTTTTATAACTGGATTCTCTGTTGTGTTCCATTGGTCTATGTCTCTGTTCTTGTGCCAGTAACATGCTGTTTTGGTTACTATAGCCTTGTAGTATAGCTTGAAGTCTGGTAAATTGATGCCTTCCAATTTGTTCTTTTTGCTTAAGGTTAATTTTGCTATACGGCGTCTTCTCTGGTTCCATACAAAGTGTAGAACTATTTTTTCTAAATCTGTGAAAAAAATGATATTGGTATTTTAATGGGGATTGGATTGAATCTGTAGATCAGTTTGGGTAGTGCAGACATTTTAACAATATTGATTCTGATAATCCATGAACATGGTATGGTTTTCCATCTGGTGTGTCCTCTACTATTTCCTTCCTCAGTGTTTCATAGCTCTCCCTGTAGAGGTCTTTCACCTCCTTTGTTAAATGTATTCCTAGGTATTTTATTTTCTTTGTTGCTGTTGTGAAGGATATTGAATCTTTGATTTGGTTCTCAGTTTGACTGTTGTTGATGTATATGAATGCTACTGATTTCTGTACATTGATTTTGTAACTGTGACTTTGCTGAATTTATTTATCAATTCCAGTAGCCTCATGGCAGAATCTTTGGGGTTTTTTAGATATAATATCATCAGCAAAAAGCAATAGTTTGATCTCTTCTGCCCCCATTTGGATGGCCTTGATTTCCTTCTCTTGTCTGATTGCTCTGGCTAGGACTTCCAGCACTATGTTGAGTAGAAGTGGTGATAGTGGGCAACCTTGTCTGGTTCCAGTTCTAAGTGGGAATGCCATCAATTTTTCCCCATTCAGTATGATGTTGACTGTGGGTTTGTTGTATATGGCTTTTATCATTTTCAGGTAAGTTCCATCTATACCTATTTTGTTAGATGTTCTGATCATAAAAGGGTGCTGAATTTTGTCAAATAGTTTTTCTGCATCTATTGAGAGGATGATATGGTCTTTGTTTTCACTTCTATTTGTGCAGTGAATTACATTTATAGAATTGTCTATTCTGAACCATTCCTGCATCTCTGGGATGAAGCCCACTTGGTCATGATAGATTATTATTTTTTTTTATTAAGCACCTGAAATTGGTTTGCTAGGATTTTATTGAGAATTTTTGCATCTATATTCAAAGGGATATTGATGTCCGTAGTTCTCTTTTTTTGTTGGATCCTTTCCTGGCTTTGGTATCAGGGCAATGTTGGCTTCATAAAATGTGTTTGGGAGGATTCCTTTCTTCTTGATGTTGTGGAATAATTTTGGGATAAGCACCAGTTCTTCTTTGTAGCTCTGGTAAAATTTGGGTGTGAAATCATCTGGTCTTGGACTTTTTTTTTAAGGAACTGGATTATCTTTTTTTTTTAAGTAACTAGATTATTTTTTTAAGGAACTTGTGTATTTTCTTCTTTGCCCTCAGGAATGCCTATGATTCTCATGTTAGGCCTTTTCACATAATCCCACATTTCTCGTAGGCTTTGATCTTTTCTCTTATTTCTCTGCTCTGTTTCTGCAACTGACTTATTGAATTGTAAGGTGTTGTCTTCAAGCTCTCAGTTTTTTTCTTCTGCTTGATCTAACCTATTCTTCAGGCTTTCCACTGTATTTTGTAATTCCCTGGATGAATTTACATTTCCAGAAGTTCTGTTTGATTTTTCTTTAATATTTCAGTTTCTTTAGTGAAATTTTCATTCATTTCCTGCATTCTTTTTGTGGTTTCTTTGTGTTGGGTTTCCATTTTATCTTCCATTTCATAGAGTTTCCTTACAATCTATGTTCAAAATTGTTCATCTGCCATCTCAATATTCTGATTTTGGTTGGTGTCTACTGCTAGAGAGCTGGTGTTCCCTTTGGTGATGTTCTTTCTCTTTGATTTTTCATACTTCTGGAGCTCTTTCACTGGTTTCTTCTCATCTGCAGCAGCTGTTGCTTCTTATCTTTGGATTTTCTTTTGTTTAGACACGCACATGCCCAGTTTAATCTATGAGCCAATAGGTGCTGCTTGTGGGTGGGAATCAACCACACTATGTATGATTAGTCAGTAAATGCAGTAAAAGGGCATGCAAATTGATCTCCCTCTCAGTCGGTGGTGCTTGCCAGAAGGAACCAACTGCAACGTTCCCTTTTTGGAGTCCTGTGACCAGCTCTAGTTCCTCTGGAGAAGCACTCTAGTACCCCAGGTGGTAGGTGGAGCCCTGGGACTTCCAGGTGTGTCCTATTCTCCACCTCAGCATAGTGGGGTGGGGGAGTGAGGCTGGGTGTGTTTGAATTGGATGAGGCTGCCCTCAAGCTCCACAATTGTTTTTAGCAGGGATCAAAGTTCTGCTCTCCACCTCTGGGCAAAGCTGTCAGGGAGGTTCTGAAGTGGCCCCACTCAACCAGAAAGTCTGCGTGTGGAGGTGGGGCTGTCTGAGACCTACAGTCTGGCAGTCTGGAGCAGGCCTTGCTCCTTTCCACCCTCCCTTGTTCAGTTTCTCTTGGGCCTCTGATGGTAGGCAGGACCTCAAGCCAGCAGAGCTCCCCCCACCACTGTGATGCAGATGAAGAGGTTCCCTGCCAAGGATCCTGGCCTGAGCTCAGAGTGCAGTCCTCCCATTGGAGGAGGAGTGCCCCACAAGCATGGTGCAGCTAGGACCCACATACACTGCACTCTCCCCCCTGATCTGCCCCTGCAGGCACCCCACCTCATAAGACTAATTCATAAATATCCCCTATGTGCTGCTGGGCAATGCGTCAAGACCTGGGTATATGGGATCTGGCCTGCAGGCCTGTCCCGCAAGCCCCATAGATCAATCCCTGTCCATGCCAGGGAGAAGATTGCTGGTCCCAAGTCACCCATGTGGTGCCCAAGCTGGTTCAATGTCCCTCTGCCTCAGGGTTTGCCCTGGTCTGCTGGAGTCATTGGGTGAGCAGCACCAGGAAGGGCCAGCTGGTAGGGAGCTCACAGTCCAAGCACCCCTCAGTCCACTGCAGGATCCCGAAAGGAAATGTCCAAGCCCCATTCCCTGTGGATAGCTCTGTGTGGTTGATAAATTCTCTCTTTCAGCAGCCACAGGTTGGGGAAGGGAAGGGGAGAATAAAGGCCTAGGCGGAGAAAGGTCTTCACACTGGTCATCTCCAACCCTCTATCTGGGAAGCAGTCCATTCAGAATGACTGGGCTCTGAAGTCATACAGACCACCTGGGACCCACTGGATGCCTGTGGCTCCTGCAGTCTGGGCCAGAGTTGGGAAATGTCTCTGTGGGGATGAGCAAGACAGAACCTGAGGGGTGGATACCCCCTGGGGAGGACAATGGCACCTGGTGGGTAGTGAAGCAATATGGCACCTGAGGACTGGCTCAGGTCTGTGGGATGGGAGGCACCCCAGAGGCTGGGAGCCTAGTGCCCTCTCCGCAAGAAGCTCTCTGCTCACTGATGGCAGCAGTGTCTGCAGTGGTGTTGGGAGGTCTGTCTAGCAGCTTGGGAGCCCACCAACAGTCCAAGATGCAAGGGAGGGGAATTTTAACTGTTCTACCTACTGTTTTGCTGGTCTCCAAGCCTCTCAGGGCTTAATATCTGCCAATGCCTTTCTCCTTCTAGTTCTGTTCCACAACCTCTTCCTGTGGAGTTGCCTGTAGGTTCAGGGAGGTTCCTTCTGACCTTCATCTGATCTATGTTTGTCTGTTTGGTTTTTTTCTCTTTCTTCTAAAATTTCTCCTTCTTGCAGAGACACTCTGGCTGGTGGTGTCTCTGATCTGCCATCTTGCCTCCTTTCTCAGGGGAAATACAAATTATAACCACAGTAAGATAGCACCTCACATCTGTTACAATATTTGCATTCTTACCTATTATCTTCTGAAGGAAATTGAAGATAAGTGATGTCACATTACCTTTCCAAGTGCAAGAATCTATTTATTTCAGTTCCTCTTTTAAATCTTTCTCTAATGTAATTGCTTTGTTTGCAATTCAGTGTTTTCATTTTAAGATATCTAGGTCCAGACTAGTGGTTACATAATTCCAGATGCTACCAGTAAATGATCATCTGACAGGCCAACTGTTTCCTATTTTTTGAGGCTCATGACCCTTTGTTTCCTAAATTTTCACATTTTTGCTCTCAGCAGCACAATTTAACAGGACAATGTCCTTGACAACCAGAGTGGGAACAAAGTCAGGCCTGGTCTATTTCCCTGCAGTGATTGGTAGCCTTAGAGAAATTCCCATACCTTCAGCTTTGCTTCTAGGGTAAAGTTTTGAAAATTTTAAAAAAGTTACACCTGGATTGAGCTGCTTTGGGGGAAAGAGTACAGGAAGGCTTCCTGTGGATAGAGTTGCCAATTTCACAAATAAAAATACAGTATAACTAGTGTGACGTTTACATTTAAGATATGCAACAAATAATTTTTTATTAGTATTTTCCATATAATATTTGGGACATACTGACAAAAATTCTTTTCCTGGTCAAACTTTGGTCAGGCTTCTGAATCTTCTGCTAGTCCCATCTGTGCACTTCCTTGCAAAATCCAGTTTTAGCAAAGAACTCTGCCAAGTCAGTTGAGCAAGAACCCCTCCATCCTTGATATCTGATCGGGATCCT